TTATTGTACTCTGCATCAAGCTGTGTGAAGTTTTTCTGTGCTGACGAAAGGTTTTTGCTTGTTCTTAAAATGAATGCTGTAACTGATTTATAAATGTTAGGCTACAGTCTCGGCATTATTAGGAAACGTTTGCAGCAGTTCCTTCATCGCTAGCAGACAAATGACTTCAGTACGGCAGTGTTCGGGTTTGTAATGTTTGATAGAAAGATTTTGTTCCTGTACTGTTGATATAGTGCAAAATAAAACAAACTGACAGGAATCAAAACAACTTTAATCAAATCTTTTTGCAATCAAGTTTCAAGGAACGTAGTACAGCTTCTGATAAATGCGACGTACTCTGACTGTGAACTAAAGACTAATGAACCACTTTCATATGCTCTATAACGGTATGATATCAGCAGCTTGTAACAAGTTAACTAGACTAACGATTAATAAGCATATTTAGAACTGCATGAAATTGTGAAAATACAAACATAGTTTCTGAATGTTATGCCATAGTCGAAAAACGGTTACACAATAAAGCTGAGAACAAAAGGTTAAATGTGAGTTTGTTTGAAGCGATTCCGCTTTAGAATCAAATGGACTCAGTGCCAGAGTAATTTTTTGAACAACGTAGGGCAATAAAAATGGTATGGTTTGCGAGGGAATTCATATGCGAAACTTGACGTTAAAGGACAATAAATGAAATGTCTAACTATATTACAAGTCCAAAACCAAGAGGCTGGTAAAGGAGGGAATTTTTATTTTGTTGAGATGGTACGATTTTTGATACTCATTGCTGTGGTTAATACAGTCAGATATGACGATGATAACGAATAGAAGTAACGTCCATTTAGCTTGCCTTAGCACACTTTTAATGAAAGCTTCGCCCAAACACATTCAGTACGACACTCATTTCAATCCATTCAATGCCCATAAGCATAACAGTTATTCTTTAATATTTGTTGTTTCATGTCAACTAATATCTAATCATGCTCTACCTTTTCAATTACATCATTTTCAAAGCATTCTTCCTACGTACATTTGAAATTTTGCCCTGCCGAGATCTCAGCCGTAAGGTGACAGTAGTTTTTATGTGCCTCAATGATCCCGAAAGCAATGCCCAGTTACGCACTTGCCTGTGGTAGAGTCATTCATGCAAGGCAGGTTTGATGCGAGAGGACAGACTGTGTGTGATCAACCATCTTCCAGTATAGCGTACCACACTCACAATCAAAATGCTCCTTTTGCCCGTCGGATAAACAAGGGGAACTGAGGTATTCTGTAACAAATGAGCGAACATGCCTGTTTAACGTCCTTCTGTGCCTCCAGGGAGGGGGGGGTGACAAAGTGGCGACAAGTGTCCAAGCAGTGGTAGAAGGGAGGAAACAAGGTTGCAACGAGGTGCTATTACATTGCAGTGAAGCAGGGCAGATATGATCAAAAAAACACTGAAAGGAAGGAGGTAGGTCCAGACCCTCCATTATGCAAGCTAGCAACGTTTAGCGGAACAAAAGCGGCTCGCTGAGAAGAACATGCTGCTAGCAGAATTGGAGCTGATTAAATCAGAGGAGCGCTCAACAACGACTTTAAAGCACGATGATCAACCAACTCAGTATATAAGTGAATCACCTTGAACAAATTTACGAGACCAGAGATCGAAATGGCTGGCGTAACAGGAGTCAATCAGCTGAATGACAATGAAAAGTCGTCTAGGCAGGAAGTTCGTCGTGAGTTTGAATGACTTGCAAAACCTACTCGACGTATCCCTCATGACAGAGGCAAAAAGAGGAGCTGCATGATCATATCAGTCACGCAAACAGTTTCCTGAATACCATGCTAACTGGTGATTTTGAATCAGTCAATGATATGATATATGCGACGGTTCTTGTGATGACGCAGGAGTTCAGCGTTGCGTTAAGTTTGAAAAAAGAATCTTACTGGAGAAGAGCCAGCTTGGTTAAGAAAAACAAAGAACAGAGAGGAAGGATTCCTTTGAAAAAATATAATACAAAAGCAGAACAGTGGACCAGACAAGCAGTCGTAGATGCATTCAGAGAGGCTGTTAGTTGTGACAGCAAAGTTTCAAGCATGCAAGAACAGACTCAAGCGGTACAAAACGAACAGGATATTTGTTTGAAGTGCTAAACTTCAATAGAAGGCCTGCGGCAAAAAAACAACCCGGCAATGAATGAAGAAATCCTATCTGCTTACGCAAATGAATTCCTTCAGTCTTGAAGAGGGATATGGAACAGTGACAAAGTTCACAACAAAGAAATTGGATGTGTGAAGGAAATGCGAAATAATGCAAACGGGATCTCTGAACAAAGGTTGTCACAGTGATCGAATGGAATATGTGCAATTCGCTTAGAAAGCTGAAAAACCAGACAGTATCAGACCCGGATCATGCGCAAGAATTCTGACTTAAACCACCAACGAATTTGCACTTATGGCAGCATGGCAATATTTTGGCAGAATGTGCCTCGAGGAAGAGCAACCTTCTTTGTTTTTGGAAGGAGTGACACGCTAGCCTTGAAAGAGAAGAACAAGATTATGGCAACGAGATTAATCACATGGGATCGCGTGCCTTCCAACGACCTGGTCTAAAGTTGCTGGTGCAGCTAAACAGCATCATATTTCCTGAGCAGAAAGGATTTGAGACGAATGACGAAATAAAAGAGATCTAAGGAACAGTCTCTCCTGATCAAGACGCTACATCAAGACGGTAAGATTACAAAGACTAATATGGCCATAGGCCGGGTTGACTCCATGAAATCGTTTGATCCAGTTCCATGTAGCTGGATCGTGCAATATCTGAAACTCTGCAACTTCAACAATGGCCTAATAAATTTCTTCAACGCAACGATGGAACAGTGGCGAACAGTGCTGCAAAGTAGCAAAAATTCTCTTGGATTAGTGGAGATCAAGCCAAGAATCTTCCAGGGAGATTCAATCGCGCCACTTCTATTTTGCCTGGCATTTTTTCCGCTCAGTTACTTGTTTAGTAACATTCGGAAAGGACATTAAAATTATCTGACTGGATGAAATAAAGAGCATGGCCTTACGGACGTTATTTTAGCTTTTACGAAATATTTACCAGTGAAGGAGAGAAGAATGGTCCGTACAATGCAGGCGGTTAATTTTATGGTGGAAGTATATGAAAAATTTGGATGTTTATTTTTCCTGAATTAAAATTATTAAATTGAAATTTTTCTTTTAGAAGAAACGTACTGATCATATTGACGGTGGAATCTATTGGGCCTTACTTGAATTACTGGAATTCTCTATGTCAATGCGAAGTTCTTCATCTTCAAAGGGCTTACTCAACACACAGCATGTATTTGGCAGAAGCCATATGTTTCGGAATTGTTCGCTCAGTCTTCACAAGACTTAATATAACAAGGGTATGTATTAATACTCCTGTTGGGACAAAGATTGGAAGCGGTATAGTAGCCCCCTCCAGTAGATTGAGACGATGGTTGCTTGCCACCGGTTAATGATATCTGTGCACTTCACATAGTGCTCCGCATCTCAAACTGAATGACGGTTGAGGAGGTACTGGCAGTAGGTCACGAGGGTTGACACCCTAAATAAACTGCCAAACGGCCATTTCCCAGAAAACGCTCAAGTGAAGAGAAGACTAAAGGAGCATCGAGTGGCGTTCCCAGGGCGCTCACAGCAAAGACAAGTCAGATGTTTAAATGAATGCAAAGTAAAGGCAACATTGCTTTTCTATATTGTTTATATATTATGTCCGCGTGAAGAAGGTTCAAGCATGAACCTAAACTTTAGGATTATATTCGGCAGCGCATGCATGCGGAGTAAACCCATTGAAGATCTTGGCGATGAAGGTCATGGAGACACCAGCAAACACATCTAACCACGCAACCTGACCACAATCAAATTCAAACTCAGTCGCTAGAGCAGAGAGACAAGATCAATGTTTTTCGAAAATCTTACATAAGGGTAACATCTATGCAATGTTCAAAGAAACCATGCAGCAGTCTCAAAGACCAGAAGGCTTTGCTTAACTGCAAACTTATGAAACCTTCTACGACACATGTCTCGGTAAAAGTTTACTGCAATAAAACAGCAGTTTCAGTTGGATGCATGGCTTCAGTGAAACCGGTATTTTCCACTTACGGGCGCATCAAATGTTGATTGCAGATCACCAGGCGACCTTGACCGCTTTAAAAAACAATTTAAAGTTGCGTTGGGTATAAACAGTCGTGGAAGCAACGAACGCGTTAAATCTGATGCCAGCAAATATCGATAAATCATACCAAGGCATTCAACGCACAGTTTCGTTTTCCGATTCCTTCTGTACAAGTCTATGCAAACATAGCAGTAGTAAAGTTTCGTTCCAGTACTTTACAGTCGAAGTATTACTGTCATCGCTTGGTGAATAGTTTGTCAGGTAAAAGTAATCTGCTTTACCCGTGGCTTACTGTAACGCGTGGAAATGGGCTGCGGATTGACGATGTCATAGTTCACTCAATGCAGGCGCAATTCGGCTCGATTGAGGTTTCGGTTGCCAATTGAGGGTAGCAGTAACCTCCTCGACGGCCCTTCTCGACGCACTCCTTTTGACAGCCCTTGTGAAAGAGTTGCGAGCAAATGCTGCCGTTCAATGGACTACGGTACGGGTAGCACCGGCAACTTAGCTGTACTCCGTCCCAAGACGTGCAGGTGCCGTACCAGAAGCTATCGATCAGGCACATGTCATTGCATTCTTGGTGATCGACCCAGTGGCATCCTGCCGTCAGCACGGTGTCGCCAGGTGTCGCGAATGTCAGCAGGAGCATGGTGGTGAGAACCATCAACGCACAACGACTGGCCATTGGACTCCGAGGCTAGCGAACCACCTGAACACAAACGAACACGGCATCAGAATAACATTTATTGAATAGACAGAAGCCGTTCCAGACGATCATAGTTTCCTATAGGTGTATCGCCGGGCTAAACACATCAAAAATGGGGCACTTAATGTGCAATGGAGCTGGATGACTTCAGCGGAACTATTGAATGCTTTGTTCGAAAAATAGGGCACGAAGTTTAGCGCACAAAGAAAGCGACGGTGGCTGGAAAAGAAGCACCTGTTTTGTCATTGGACATGGAAACATATGCGTTCACCGTAGACGGCTGCTACGGCGGGCTTCAGGTGACTTTTAAAAAACGCCTCAAAGAAATACAGCTTGTGTAATTGAAGGCGGGAAAAACCAAGTCGATTATTCCAAGACTAACTCATGCAGCTGATTCATGTGAACTGCTCTACAGAGGAAGTTTCCTTCCAATATGTACGACTAATTTCGGCAATGCCCCATCAGTAATCATAGCCCTGGGTTCGTTCGTTTTCAATGGTCAAGATTCGATGCAACCAAGCTTATAGTGCAAAGCAGTTACCTAAGCCATCGTCTGTAATTGACATATCCGTAAACAACACGATAGTACGGCTTGGTTGAAGTCGCCTCAACACTTGGTGTTCTGTCGCGTGGCCTATCGACAGGAGAAATGACAGGTGGCCCAAATGCGGCACGGCTGCATGGGTGGATTCGATATCTTCATCGAAGCACTTTTGGTGCAGCTCACAAAAATGTGCGAAATTGTTGTTGCCACTTAGGAACAAAATACGCTAACACAGTGATCAGATTGCTTTGTTCCAGACATGAACTCGATTCCCAGGTTCAAAGAGGGCAAGTAAGTTGGTGAAACGAACAGATTTGCGTTACTGTGCTGTTTTTAAGTCGACATCGTTGTGTTCATCTCAACCACCTGTAGACAGCGCCTGAACGACAGAGTTCGCATAAATGATTATGCTAAGTAGCTGGAATATAATAAAGGCCATCATGTGGTGTTTATATCCGTGTTTACAAAGCCAGGTATATCCACCGCAGGCGATTGTGACGAACACGACAACAGTTAGTAATAGAGAACTGATCCAGGACCCTACTACCATTCAAAGTGATTTCGATCTGTTACTGAAGATCCATCATCAGCCATTATTGATTTACTGCTGAATGAAAGTTTCTCGAAGTCTTTGAAATATAATCATGTTTTCAGTGATTATTATCCATATTAACCCAATTAACTTCTTTAACGCAAACTGGGCCACCACTGCTCCACCCCCAAAAATTCTCCACTTTTGTCCGTGTTTGTTCCACCTCTCTGCGTCCCAATAAATGCAAGCTATTTTTGCATCTACTGGCTGGCCAGTCATCGAGGGCGCTTCTCTGAATTGGTGGGTAAAAACGGCAAGCTCTTACATCAAAGTTGAAAGCGAAACTACTACCAGAATTTCACAGAAGTACTGGTCAGCCGAAAATTCTTCACCATTCCCGCAATTAAACGCCTTTGTCACCTTTGAGGAAAAACCTACAAACATGGTAACCTAACCATATGCAAACTCCTTCGAACGATAATTCGTCAGGAACTTCATAGCCTCCATGAACCTCACTACAAGGACTTGTTCCAACAGAAGAATCAAAAGGAGCAGAGCTTTAGACATCATTAGCCGGCACAGTATTTACAAATCAGTTTGCAAGCCACCGTCTGGAGATCTCGACCTCGATACGCTTAATAACTACATGCTTAGCATCGATTCTGCTTCCTCGGTAGCCATACCGCGCTTCACTCCCTCCATAGTATCGTGCTAAAGCTATGACTAAGGTTTTATTTCTCTGCATGGTGGAGCTCAACGATGTTTTCCACAACGTTCTTCTATGTGAGGGAGTCATTGCTGATTGTTGGCGAACCGCTAGAATAATTCCAGTACCCATTATTAGCAAAGTCTAATCCGGAAGCCTATCGACCGATCGCTGTGATTTCCGTTCTTCTTAAATTGCTCGAGACCTTCATTCAGCCAGTCCTTCGGAAACAGTTCGAGGGTGTGAAAGACAATTGGCAATTTGCATTTACATACGGCCGTTCCGCCTTAGACTCCATGGTCTCTTTTACCGAGTTACTCATGTCGGTGCTTGATTTTAGAGTCACTATTGCTAGGACAGTCTCCTTAGGCATCTCCTCAGCTTTGATGTCGTACGTGAGGGCGATTCTGAACCATTTGCAAAGTTTCTTCGTTGCCAATAGCTTACTCCAGTTGCTGGCAAACTATTTCTCAAACCGGCATTAGTATGTTGCTGTAGGGAAACATCACTCAATGACTGCTTACAGCAACTTAGGCATCCAGCAGGGTTCCGTTCTATTGCCAGTGCTCCTCAATATGTATCTGATTCGCTTATTACTATCAGTCAAGTCTTATATGTCAAATATGAAGATGAAATGGTTCCTATATGAGCCGTCAAAATTGAATCTACTTCGTGTAAAATTCAAGACGTATTAAACGCAGTCGAGCTGCTGATAAAAACAAAGGTTTAATATTTAACCACTTGTAAGATGCCCGGCTGACCTATCAAATGAGCAGGAAGAGGTTCAATAACCTACTCTGCATAGCTCATCACCTTGTCATCATGGACGGAACAGCAACACTGGAAGACACTTGGGAATCTTGCTGCACGACTTGTTGAATGAGTCGGATTACGTTTTCTCAGAATTCTTGAAAGTATGCAAATGGTATGCATTATCTCCTTCGACTGATGGGATCATCGATCTGCTCATTTAAAGACTGAGTCCGTCTATTTTGTCTTCAGGTGCCTTGCGTCATCCCTTATTCACTCCAGCTCCATGATTTCTGCTGGCTTACTGAGTGACGACTACTAGTAACTCAGAAGAGCGACGATGATGACCTTCTGCATCAGCAGAATTGGCATCGGCGAAAACAATGACTAAATCAGCCTGTCATAATTGTCACTGTTTTTCTTTATCATGCCATTTATGTTTTAAATTGAGATAAAACCTTTTAGTGCCGAAAGTAATTATTATTTATGTGAATAAACTTGATTGACTGATTGATTTGGCTCAGCCTCCGATAGAACTGCAGGTGTTGCTACGAATTACTTGCTCCTTCTTGGAATTCAGTCCACTATATGCTGGGTCCAGCGATAGTCGATTCTTCTGGCAACTTTTTCCTGTCCATTGCCGTTTTAACTTTTCACCTGTGCATCGTAGACTCCAGCTTGTCCTCCTATCGATTCGTTAGTTTTCAAATGTCGTGGTGATTCCAAACGCATGCCATTCCATGCCGAGTTGCATTCTGTAGTTTATGAACAGTTTTCAGGGTTAGAATCCTTCATTTCACATCCTAGGTTTGCTCTGATCGGAAATCGTCCGTTTTAGGCACAGGGGAGTTTCCCACATAAAAATATTTCCAATCCTCCTAAACGCATCACTGAAGATATGATTCTTTATTAGAGGCGTAAGGTGACTTGCGTGCTATGTACACAAATAGAAATTCTGAGATTCGCCTCAATGCGTATGTGGAGCGCATAGTCACATCCTGAAACATTTCAACGCGGAATGTCCGCTCTGCAGAATAAATGGTGGCATAGCAAAAGTACACAAATTTGCAGGAGCTGTCCTGCAGTAGCTTTCAATTTCACACTAAGCAATACAAGAAATTCCAACTGACTGGTTACATGAAGAGAAATTAATAATTCAGTTCATACGAACACAAGATAACCTGGACATACGGATGGGATTAGGTTTCATACGGAGCTTAAAGCTGTCTTCAACTGATGATCGGTTAATTGCAATTCTGATAGATTAAGACCTAATTGTCATAATGTTTAATAGGTGTCATTGAAATGTTTTTGGCTTTCTTCCACGTAGCACTTTTAAAATATATAACTGTTTTGATATTACTATGATATTACTCGTAAGTCCTATAAAAACTTTCATTGTTGACTACTGCCAAAAATAGTTGCTTGAAAGTAGCAACAGGTGACGCAAAGGAATCATCCAGGACAGTCAATCTTCGTTTATTAATTCCATGGCGTGACTGTTCTTGTACGTTACACACCACAATGTAACTCTCTTGCTGTCATGACAAAAATGCGAATCACTGCACTACGTTATAGTACCAGATTTTGCAGGTCTTCATCACTCAAGCGTTACAAAACGTTACTTTCGTTCCATTTCCTGAATACATTCAATCATCATTTGCGTACTGCGCAAGTCCCCTTTGTTCTTGCATGCAACTTATCGTTAGTGCCTTTCAGAAGACAGACAACATAATGGCGTTGCATCATCGCGTTTCTTTGATGGATCAATTTCGACAAAGGTTTGGGTGAGTAGCGAGGCTACTGTTTCAGTTACTTGCAGGTTCTTTGCACTTTCGAGGTGACGAGTTCAAACCCGCAAGGACACCGCAAATTTTTTTTTATTAGCTGCAAATTCCCCTGGATCATGGAACTCGCGGCAGCGAGTTGCTTCACTTGAGACACAGGTTGTTGGTCGCTGACCTGTGAGCAACAGGTGCGAAGCTGTTTCCAGAACTCACGCGACATCGCGTTGCCTGATGTGTGCTCTCTACGGCAGCAATTCGCCCTGGCCCACACGACAATTGTCTAAATAAACACCAGCACAGTGCATAAATCGTAAAATATGAGTGAAAATTGGAACAACAAGTCAGTTTGGGATTCTACTTGAACTTTCTTTCAGCCATCAGACAATGAAGCCAATTTTCATGGTCTCGTGCCACTGACCAGGTGGAAATACGGACTTTGGGCAAAATTCATGGGCGTGCCTGTTTCAAATTATTCTGAACTTTCCTCGCAGTCTTGTGTCAGTCGGTGGAATGAGAAATAACGCTCTCATCCTCTGCAGTGAGTTCACGAACATGCTCTAACCGTTGTAATCGTGACCTCTACCTCGACAGAAACAGTTGATCGATTTTGTTGTTTTGACAGTCTTATTAACACTATACATTCTAATTAATAAACAAATG